TTAGCAGAAGTGAACCGTATTTTTTTTCACTTGTTAATAAACCTTGGAAGTCTGTGACTGACGATACCTATAATCTCAAGGGGAAGTAATTTGCTTCTTTGAATTACTCACACTTTTGCATTTGAATTTACAATAAAAATGTTCACCACTCCAGTGGTTAATCATTTCGATTGTATTGACATTATGCTATTGTTTGTCGGCGGAACAACTGGTGCGAATCCTCCACTCTGCCCCAAAATGAGAAGTCACTAATACAGCAGATGGAGAACTGAGTGACGCAATTAAGAGAGCTTACAACTTTTGTCTCTCCCCTCAGCACATACCACATCGGTACACGAAAATCCTTAACGTGGGCCCGCACAAACTGGCAGTCCTTTTGACAGCCTCACTCAGATGGAGCACATATGGCAGATATAGCACAGTGATTAGACAGCCTGTAGATGACAGTATTCTGTGCAATGTATTCTTTAAGTAGTTACGAATTCGACCAATAAGGCGAGGGTACATACCTCACATGTGGATTAAGGAATAATGCTTTTGTGTTTATAAATCCCTATTTTCGATTTAGCAGATATATTTACAGGAAATGGGAGCGTAATTGAGATTTGGCTGGTCTTGGTGCCAGTAAAGGTTGTGATAGAGGCGAAGATTAAGGCGGCTGTGGCGATGATGGAGCTGAGGTCGGGTTCTGTGACTGTTCTGGTTGTGATTCCGCTACCTCTCCTTCTCCTTCTTCTTTTTTCCACAGTTTGAATTTCAAAGTAGGCCGATTGTTGGAATCCTGCACTTTCTCCCGATTCTGTGAATGTAAATGCTGTTGAACTTGTTGCGTTGGCGAGGTCAGTTGGGTTCTTGCTTGGTCCGTTGTCTGGTATATAGTTAACGGTTTTTTTACTCTTCGTTCCCCTCCCAAATCGTTACGTTGTAGTGAACGCGGAGGCACCGCACCCGGTGCTGTCATCTCCATCAACTCACGCCTCTTCTCCTCAATCATATGCTGATAGTCGTACATTGACGTCAGTGGATAGCGACTACCTCGACGTAGCGCTGACCTCCGCAGCTGTCGCAAGGCTTCTACCTTATCTGCCAGTCTTTGTGCATGGTACGCTGCCTTAACTGAAGTCGGTAGATGCTCCATAATCAAATCCGCTCGTTTTGGATCTAATGAAGCTTGGTGCAACACCAGTGCCATGTCTTCGTACACTTTGATAATTTTTTGATTGCGAAACTCTGGTGTGTTTTGAAGCACCAACCGAACGTACTTCTCATCAACGCGTTGAAACCAGGTGCGCAGACGATTTCGTCCCAT